CCAAAAGTTATGAGAATTGAATTATTTTTCGATCCCATTTATTTATTTTCCAACTGTCGTCTTTAGAGAATCACACTTTTCTAGCTTTTAACGAGATAATAACACTTTAATCTAAAATGCCTGGATAGTTGTTTTTCTGTTCTGTACAAGTCTATAGGTATATTTACGAAGCACTTTAAGACTAAATATTTTTCTCGTTCAAACATTATGAATAATGCAATCAGTATTTCGGGTTTAAGCCAACTACCCGGCGGCGTATTCACAGACCCTATCCGAATTTGGCCAAAACGTAACCGAGTTAGTTTTAGAAGTTTTACAGAACATAACCTACCTGTTGGTTCAAACGTGATACTACTCCAACGAAGTTAGTAGTAAACCTAAAACCTAGTGCTTTATATTCAATGAAAAACCACGACGGTCCCATAGGTACCACTTTGGTCGAACTTGGATATGATCTATAAATACCCTACCCGGCGAAATACATAATTATTGACAATGGAACAGATGTTTTAAGATTACCGTATGGATAACGTTTCATTGTTTTTTCTCTCGCGAATTAGTTCAATATTTTCTGTACTAAATAAAATTTAAATCTTAAATTTAAATACCAGTGTATACGATACAGTAATAAATTAGCGATTGTTTTCTTTAGAACACAATAAAGAAGTATCCACTTCAAAACGTTAAAAGTGAGTTACTGTAGCACATACAACAATATTAGCAGGTAATTATTCTCTCTCTTAAATTAATTAAAATAAAGCTTTATGCGTCCGTATTACGAATATCTACACAACACCTATTTTTTTTTTTTTTTTAGTTAACTTTTTACACGATGTTAAAAGGTTTGAAAAGAAAAATATTTTCCATTTACCGCCACCACCGTCACCGCCACCACTACCTTTCTCTCATGTTTGTTAATTATGCAACATATAATAATTAGATTTCGTTGTATTTAAATCATTTCTTCTCTCCATTTTGGTGAAAAAAAAAAGAAAAAAAAAGTTTTAATCTTTGATATATTGTTATAACCAGAATTTATCCGTGTAGAGAAAAAAATGTACATTAATTTTAGTCTCTTTAATAATTCATATATACTATAATCGCCACGACTTTATTTTTATTATTTTTTTTTTTTTTTTTTTTTTTACGAAAATAGAATTAAATTGAAATTGATATTACACACAAAAATTTAAGGACGGTCCATGCAATTATAATTACTATTGTAATAGTCGCAGGTATAGCGATTATCGCAGTACAATAAAATATTATAGTATGTGTTTTTATACGATAACAGTAACTATCACTGTCACAGTCTCACGATAGTATAACTATGTATGCATGATAATGTGATAGTTTATTTTATGATAGTTATCATGAAAAGCAAAATGATCATACAGCTCTATCGATACCTGCTAAATAAATATGTTCATTTTTCGTTATTTTCAGTGAAATTAAAAATGTATAATAAAGATTGCTTTGTTTAATATCCTGGTGTATCTATGTTTTTTTCACTCGGTGACTCTTATTTATTTATTTTATTTACATCGGTCACAAGGTTTAAGCGTATACCTTTGTCACGAGCATTTTCATTAACAGGCAATAGCACGTAATATAAATGTCCGATGGAAATATAAATTATATAAATACAATTTTCAGCTGGTAAACCCAATGTTCAAATGATATGTATTGTATAGCTGTGTATTATAGTCGTCGTCTCTGGGGCTCAAGAGACTTAATTTTTAAACTAAAATCCAAAGCATAAAAAAAAAAAAAAGCCGGACTACTTAAAAACCCAATCTGTTTTGCAGAAATTGTATATACGCGTATATATATATATATATAATAATGTGATGCACGGGAAAAGATAAAACGATCTGTTTCTAAACAACCGGCTAGTGTGCTTTACATTTAACACGATGACGGTCTTAAAAATATATTTAAATTACAATGCAAGGCAGTAAATTAAAAATGTATACATATACATATGTTTATATTATATATATACGAAAATAAGCTTATTACCCTTAATGAGTGTAATCAATATAAAATAACTATTTCCACCGCGGTCATAATACCAAACCATAAATAACCCTTTTAATGTAAATTTTTACAAAATAAAATAATATTTTTACGTCCAAGTATACACAATTCAACTCCTCGATTATAAATGAGTAAGGATAATGAGTTTTTTTTTTCGGAGTTTTTTTTTTTTAGAATAATTATTTATAATTTATTACTTAACCGATAATTTTTTTTATTATTTTATTATTTTTTAAAACGTTCTAGTAATTTAATTTTCGCGTAAAACGATTGCATACATTAGAGTTATCATTTAAGTATAATAGTATTATAAATGAATTACAATTGTACAAATATAATACGATTATTATTAGGTAGTAATATAAAAATTCAATTCAATTCTTGTACGGTTTAAAAGGCAATCGTGTTAAAAATAGCTGATTATTCTTAACCCGAAAATATACTATTTACCAGCCCCTAAGTAAAAATATACTAGGATATTATTTACATCCCGTACTTAATTATAGAGGGTAAACATTTTTGTTTGGGGAGTAAATAAATATTTTGTACATTAATCTCACGAACTTATACAAAAATCTACCGAGCGGTAAATCCTAGAATGTCTACATTAGTGGGGGAAGAATCCAGGGTGGGTTTTTTCGACCACAAGAGGGAGGAGTGATAATAAAATCGAGGGTATCAAATGACAGAGAGAAAATAATATTATTTTCAGGATATTATATTTTGTATTTTCGAGATTCAAATAAGCAATTTAAGAAACTTATTATTTTACTAAAAGAAAAAAAATAATAATAACACAATTGTTAAAACTCAAAAATAATAATTGAAAAAAAAAAACTGTTAAAAACGTTAACCGTAATGCGTGTGGACCTTCTTAGTATAGGTATACGTATAAGTAAACATATCTGTAAAGCCGTTTATAAAGGCCTTCAACTGACGAAGTATAAAGTTTACTCACTTTTGTTTTCAGTGTGTCTACGAAAGTTTTACAGTGGTCGTTAATCATATAAGAGTTAAAAACAAAATGGCGAATTATTTTACCCATAAGCCGAATATTATGATATAAAAGAGTTATATTATAGTGATACGTGTTTTCTTCATATATATTGTGTATGCGTTTTGTATTTCTACAAAACCAAAAGACAGGATGTCGACAAACACGATGGAAAAATACAATGCTCCAACAGTTTTATAGTTTATATAATATTATATGCATTTTAATTTTTGTTGTTCTTCTCTAGTTTCTAGACCTTTTACTCTGTCAGCGCGTCAAATAATTCATAGAATAAATGAAAAGAACCTCACATATACGTGCACTCATATACGTATAACATAATTTATTTTTTCTTCTAATTTTATTCTAAGATGATACTTGGTGCGTCGAAAAAAACAATACACATTATAGTTAACCAATACATTCCACGTTGTACTAAGAATCTGAAACATCACTTTGATAATATTAATGCCCTCCACATCGAATAATATTTATTAAATTAGAAAAAAAATAGTATTTATACTGATATAGTGCAATGTACTATTTTGTCCTCATATTTAGGAAGAAAGTATATTGTGAAGAGGAAAATCGAATAAAATATCAATTTTTACGACAAAAATCGATCTGTATGCGTGTAAATATTCGAAAAACTGCTAAATAACTACTCTATACACTGCATGTATTATATAACACTGAATGAATATGAATCATTTTTAGAGAGCGATAATATTCTTTTTCGAATTTATTAAAATACATAGCAATAACACTATGTGTATACCTACTTATACCTATACCTACTTGAAAGTGAATAACTTATATAGGAAGTTCTTTTACTTTACGCGATCGTATATTACGCGATTATACAATATTCTTTATCTTGTACATAAATCCGTTTTTTTTTTTTGGAAAATTTACCCAAACAAAATAATATTTTTTACTTAATACGCTCTACAATAACTGCCTTAAGTGATTCATATTTTACTTTTGATTCGAGTACTCGAGTGTCGACTATGAAGACTCATTATATCGAGTCAACTATCGAATGAAATACAGGTAGTATATTTGTTTAGGAAATCACTCAAAAATTCTTAAATCAAAAAACCCCAAAACGACATAGGTGTCCAATATATTGTGGCCGTTGTTTGTAATTCTAATTTTAACATTTTTAACGTTAATATAGAAAATGTATTAATTTACGAAACGTGATATTCCAGCGTTCCAAAAACACATCTTACATCCCTTATAAAAAAAACTATATATTAATGTTAAATATTATTTTTGACAGTGATTTTATTAATTGGATTTTGTTTTCTAAATCGTGTTCGATCATAATTATTGTTAATTTTAAATAAAAATACCCCATATCATACTTGTGTAATATATTATGACGCATTATACTCGTACTTTGCATAAATAAAATAAAAAACTAATTAATATGAAAATAAGAATATTATATTGATTATTTTTGGGTCCTAACACACTTTCATACCGTTATTTTCAGGCGCGGTTCTAGGACTAAATTTTCGTATGAGCAACAGTAGATTTAAAATTAGGTTTTAACTGTAAATAATATTCCTCATTTCCTCCCCCTTCCCCACAACATTTTTTTAATATAATTATAGTATTATTATTATTATAGTGTATAGCTTAAAATATTCATATTAATTATAATAGATAGGTAATACAAGTTTTAAATATAAAAAAATAGAGAAATCCATAGTTTTCAACTCATTATGTATAATTATATTTATTTAAATATATTTAAATTTAACTGTCAAAAAAGTTCAGACTGATCAAACTAATTTAAAAAAAAAAATAGTAAGCTAAATTTGAAATTGTATTCTTCTGTTTTTCATGCTTCAAACACTTCAAGGACAGCAGTTGGATCTTTTAATAATTTGTTTGAGTTTTCAAAATCAATTGATAAAAGTGTAAGACTACTTAATCATGAACTCTTCATAGTTGATCATAAATATGTCTTAACACGGCGCATGGTGGAAAAACTGCGTTCTGCACTAGCTGAAGACACAGGAATGACCATGACCAGACACTGGTTCTTCAATACTTCTATAAAGTCATTAGTTGTATATGGTTGATACATATTACCTAATTTAACTAACAAATCTGAATTTAGAAATTCATTTGATTTGGGGTCACTTGCATGGATATAATTCAATATTTCATTGTTTTGGGTAAATTTATAAATCATTTCATTATTCATGTTATCTAAAATCTGGAAAAAGACTCTTTTTAATTCATTTTCTATATCTTTAGAGGACATGTTTTGTTTTTCTTTTCTACTAGTACTAGCACCAAGTGTTGAATAAGTTAAATAGTTATCCAGTGTTGATGAAATTCTCTGTTCTCTTTTTGGACGTAGTGTATCGTTAGGTTCAATATTCGCAATATTTAGCCAATGCTAATTTGTGTGTGTCACATTTATCATGTACTTTAGCCATACTGCCTATATGTTTCCNACAATAATAACAAAAAATTTGATCAAATTGTATTGAGTACTCAATTCATGGATACTGTTTATACCAAGTACTATTAAATGACCGTTTACTTTTAACCATGGATTTGTAAGGATAAATAATATTTGGTTGTACAAGAGGTAGATCATAGTTTAAACTTAAGTCTAATATTTTTGAAGATTTTACCAATTGTCTGGTCGGTTCTGGGTTAAAAACAATACTACTATTTACACTGGTGTTTTCACTAGCTATAGAGTCATTTGTATGTACTGATGGAGATTTTGGTGTGTCTCCTTCAATTGTTTTTTCGGCCTTATGTTTGGAAAAATGAGTTAAAAATCTCTTCATTATATGAAATTAATAGAAACAACGAAAATTCACAATGAGAAAAAAACAATACAATAGTCATATTATATTTACACAATATGTAATAATTTATTATCACGTTATGCCAGCTATTATGAAGATAGCTACCGTTCCGAACGTCTGGTGTCGTTCGCTCCCGCCAATTATGAACTAAGATAGTACTATGACCGCTAAAACAGCTGCAAGCTCTTGCAGTGACATAGATAATATATTAGCACGATTAAAGATATAATACCTATTATATCTTTAATCGTGTATATTAGTAAGTTCGTCATCAATGTAATGATAATAATATAATTGTAAATTATCATTATAATTTATCAAATGATGAAACATTTTATTTTTTTATAAAAATNGTTATTTTATTTCATAGGTTATATTAAATTCATTAAGATAAATTATTATAAAATCCATATATTATTTATAAATAGAGTGTATCTGTTAGTTTTTGAAAACCCATTTTGTAGTAAATTTTAAGTTATAATAAAATTATAATCACATGCGATTTTAGTAAATTCAAGATTTTAGATTAATATTAAATTAAATTAAATAACAAAATTGTATAATATTTTGATACCAGTGATTAAGACTGACATAAAAAAGTCTTAAAACTATGAAAACCTTAACGAGAATTTGATTTTTGTCAACTTTTCAAACGTTAATCGTATCGTTTAGTGTATGTATTAAAATGATTCGAAATTAGCTTTAATATACCTTCATCAGTTTTTGTACTTAATGTACTTTATAAATACTCGTATATATTTTATTTTGATTTAAATGTTGAAATAACAGAGTAGTGAGATTAAGCGGATAAAGCGATGGCGACATAATAACAATCATGGGGATCACGAGAGGGTTTAAAATTCCGCGGTGGGAAAGTTCATATACTGTAAAAGATTACATTTGTGTGTATTTTTTTTTTTTTATTGTTTTCAATTCCGAGGTGCACAAGGAAGCTTTTAGTAACAGTGAGATTTTTTTTCGTCTTCTCGATTAATACAGGTACTTTACGGGGAAATACACGAATAATATTAAAAAATTAATCTCAAATAAGACACATTCAAAAACTTTATGCAAGTAGACGTGGAGATTAAAACCCGTTAAACTTCCACGACTAAGCCACTAAAAATGGGACACATTTACCGCCTAATTGGAATTTCATTGCGAACTGTTTTAGAAATTATAGTATAACAAAATGCTGTCCTAGGATGGCTGCAGCCACTGTTGTAGGTGAAAAGTTGGGATAGTGGATACAGAAGAGAATTCAATGTATATCTTTAAGCAACGATAAACCATTGCTAACGAAAAAACGATTCTGATCGGAGAGCGGAATAGAGATGCATTGTTAACAGTAAATATGTCATATTATGGTAAAATAGGCATTATATGTTTTCTTTAATAATATTTGTTTAATATTTTCTCGCGTTTGCTGCGTTTTTTCCGTTTTTCCTATGTTTTTTCCCGGTTTTTCATATTTTTTAGGAAAACTTTTAGGAAAATAAAAAAATGACCTCTTTAAAGTACCTCCACAGTCAGATTTCCTTCGAGAAAAAATGCTATCATTCTAATTCAGAGTAAAATAGCTGGTAGAAAAATTGCGCATAGATAAAAAAAAAAAAAAAAAAAAACATCTTTGTAAAACCATAAGTTTCTTCAATCTATTCAGAATCTAGTATAATAACCAGCAAATATATTGAATATCACCAACAGTAATTTCGTATAAGTAGTGTAATCTAAAAAAAGCAGGACATATTTTACATCATGGATAGATCCTCTTTTATAGATGGGAAGGTGCTTATAAAATATAGGATAATTTAGTTTTTTATTGAATGCAACGATAGACCATTGTAATTAAAAAAAGATTTTGAGTGGAATTCGATAAACTAATAAGGTTACAAACTTTATTTTCTATTGTAACCCAGCTAACCCAGAAATCAACATACATAAAACCAATGTACCATCATTCGTTATTAACTTTTTTCAAAATGTTTAAACAAATTATTAAAAATCTAAATTTGTTTCAATTAAACTATCACAAAAAAATCTTCATCTTTTAAGGTACTTTAGCCTGAAAAAATTAGAGCACTTTTACTAATTAAAGAGGTGTTTTTCTTGGGAATACATTTCAGTAAAACTAATATCTAATTTTTACTACGCAGTATTCTAAATTAAAAATAGGTTAATTTTATACTTGTATTTCTTAAAATGGAAAATGTTAATCCTTACAATCGTATATAAAATTATTGAAATCAAATAGTATACATTTAAAAATCAAAATGTAGTAAATTCTCTAATGATACCTTATTACGCATTAATATGACAGCTTGATTCAATGTAATTTTGTGTTAATTACGTGCTATTTCTCGTTTTCTATTCTAGAGCTTATTGCAACTCGATAAAACGTAACATTTAAAACAACTCAAAATCCTATTATTTATGTTTCTTCATATACAAATTGCAGATGCGTCTTAAATTAATTATTCAGTACCGTATATTTCTATTGTAGTGATATAATTTAAAACTTCGTAATAAAAATATTATGTTTAAATGCAATTTACAATAAAGGATATAATTATTAATTGATATTTTATTTTCAAACGGAATCAGCCTGTTTTATTTGTGTCAAACTCAGATGATAAATTAATAAATCTTCTACGATTTCAACGTTATAATTATAATGATGATAATAAATACTATAATTTTTTAGTAAATTGTGATTTTTAGTTTAGTGCGTGGTGATCGTGTAGGATCGTACATAATTTTCTTAATCCCCATTTCTAATTAAATAAGAATATAATATCTGTAATCTAATGATAGCGCAATGCCGAAATTAAGTAGTTATGTGATAAAATGTCTATACTTTTAAGTCGGAGTTAAAAATGTATTAGACAATGGTTAATTATACTCGTTAGAATATTGATTCTGAACTTTGGAACTAAAGGTGTTAAACTAATTTATTTTATTCTAGTATAAACAAAAAAAAAAAGAAACAACGGGTAAATGGCGAAAGAGATACAACAAAGTGTTGTAATATATGCTGGAAATAGTACCAGTAATAAGCTCTGTTAAGGGCTAAAGGATATAAAGTATACAATGGTGAGACTGCATAATGAGATGAGTACAAAACTGTTAGAGTAGCATTGGAATAGAAACCACAAGAAAGAAAACCTAAAAAATACTCCAGAGAAAATGAATTGACGCCGTCGAATTCATACGATGATACCTATGGGCTATGGTAGAATAATAGCAGATGTATCGATACAAATATCTCTGTGATGAAATAAAACGATAATAAGTATTCACACAGTTCAACCTGTCTTTTCAAGACCAATGCTAATTATGTTTGTAAACAAAATAACAAATGCGATTTTATTTATTACCCTCCCCCTAAATCAAAAATTTAATCTAGCTATGGCCTTGAAAAATACTTTCACGAAAGTTCATGTTATAGTAACTATAATTTCATAATAAACACGTATATTAACGTAAAGTAATACTCGTAAAATCTATCGTCGTGTGGACCAGGCTCAACGGTTTCTTCAATAATTTAAATAATCGTCATTCGTCGTATAATGTTTTTTTTACTAAGACTAATAAGTTTAATACGTACAATAATCTTGTACTCATATTGTTTGTTAACTTAACTGCTTAATAATAACAATAAAAGAACCTTCACGCAGCGCCCCCTAAATAACGACGTCATTTAATTATGAACGGAGACGTAATTCATCAACATACTGACGGCCAATCTTTCAACCATCGGTCGACAAAAGCAACCTAAACGGCACTTATCAGGACCATATCTGACGACAATGTCACACTATTAATAACAAGTCGTTTACTACATAGGTACCTTTATTTTGCCAAAAGTATAGGATTTATTATCGTTTCGATTGAAATTGTATTGAATCGTTAAGTCACCATCGTGTAACATTGCTGAATTTCGAGTGAAGCGAATATTTTCTTCCGAGAAAACTATTATGTTTGATACTTTGCGATGCATTTACCTACTCATATAGTATGTATAATATTATTATAGGTACTAAATATTTATTCGAGTCTATGATAACGATTTAAACAAAACACGAGAGGTCCAAAAGTCTCATATTGCATTTCTAATGATCGGTAATAGGATATATTATATAGCATATAATGTATATGGTAGTAATTTAAGAAGTAGTTTTTAATTTTTCCATTAGTTTAGAGAAAACAGAAGATAGAAAAAATCGTGTTATCGAACAACATATTGTACTTTCTACATTACGTTATGATTAGAAAAAATATTAATCACTATGATGATACGCTATGAGAGTACACATGAGTGTAAATACAATTGGCAAAATAATACCTCGATAGGTAGAAAAAGTTTTGCATAAAATGACGTTTTACTAAAATACTAATTTTTTAAATATTTTGTTGACAGGACTTTATGACCTTTTGCATATTTCTCTACCAAGCTTTTCGGTCTGCTACCACGATTTCTTGCCTTTTCAAATTGCAGGCAATTATATGGTCTGCCGTCCGTTTTTTTTGTTTGCGTCCTAAAAAGCGGTTGATATAAAACTAAATGGAGTTTTTTTTTTAATAATTTATTTGATAAAAGTCGTGAAATAAGCGATGGTGTACGTTACAAAATCAATAATAATGCGTGAAATTTGAAAGAATAAATAAATCAAATCAATTAAAATATGATTTATTGTTATCCTATTAGTAAAAAAAAACCAGAACAAAACAAATAAATAAATACACATACGTGTAGGTAATCTTATTTCAGAGAAATTTAATATTATGTGGGCGTATTCGTAATATTTACAAAACGAAATGACATGACTCGAATGGAAAAAAAAATATACGAGTGTAAATTTATTATTCAATGTTTTAACGCTCCTGCGAAAGTTTTTTTTCTTTTCTCCTTACCGTAATATTTCATTTTACATATTATTATTATTTCTATTGAACGAAATTATAATAATTTATAACAA